TTGTTTTGTCTGTAAATTAATTATTGGAGACTGGTGGGACAGCTAGGTGTAATTCGACGACATTTATTGATATATCTACTGCTTCTGTATATACGGTTTGGCCGCTGGTAACCAGCGAAAGGGGTTCGTAACAATATCTAGGAAGAGTTTTTTGAGACTTTTAAACATTGAAATGAGTTGTAGAAAATTATTATGGAAAGAAATGTAGTAAAATATTGAACATAAGTAATCTGAAACTTTGCAAATTATAATTATTGGTAAGCTTGAATTATAAACAGGATATGAACATCATTAGCATCTAAGATTTCATGGAGAGTAGACGTGTCGTTGGTCTACCTCTGATAGTTTTTGTAAATAAGTATTAATATACCCCCAAGAGATGATAAGATAACTATTATTTTGTTAAGTTATTGATCAGTGATAAATGCAAAGTTAGTAATATTTCTGTAAGCGAGACAAAGTAATTCGTCATGGCATACTTAACAGTGAATTATGAAAGATATAGTTTCCATTTTTAAATGAACAGTGAAAGAACAAATATTACTTTATTATTTAATGGGATTAATTTAAAGTATTATTTCTCTGAATTAATTAGCTACTTAATGATTCTTTATAAAGTGACCTTCACCGATTTAAACTGAATTATTATTTTCTATATTAGGAACTGGAAATAATAATTATTTTCAGAGGTTTACGTGTACAGCAGATTTATGTGGGGAGCATTTTTAACTTTGCACTTAAATTAAATTTAACGTGGCGCTGTTAAGATTGTAGCAGTTTAAAGTTGAAACTGTGATTTGCAAAGAGGTTCCAAGTATTTTTTTTAACATATCAGTGGACGAACACTGTAATGATACAACTTGCAACGAGGACTTATGTTTCAGCTAAGCTTGAAATTAGTTAGATAATACATAGAAAGATATAATTATCATTGAAACTTATTTATTTATTTATATAGACAAGTGATCTCCTAGTGAGAAGTTATCACTAGATCGTGTATGTGCAATTCATTTATTAATAATTATGGATATGTATATTTAATCTGAGTATTCATTTAATACCACCTTTACAAGCAAGAAATCTCTTTAATTTCATAACTCTTTGTTTTTGTTTTTTATTCAGATAAGGTTAATTATAGATTTAACCCTTGTTGTGTTGGTACTATCAAAATTAACTTATTGTCTACCACTCACAATTATTACTTGCTTTACTTTGTCTGGACAATGAAAAAAAAAAGTGGTAATTTTTAAAGAATCAAATAGTAAGTAACAAGTCACTACACTGATAACTGTTGGTGTGATCTGGTCACACTGGTAACTAGTAGTGTGATCTTATGGTGTGGATATTACAGTTACACCCGATACACGTGTCAGCGGTGTGGATGATAAATAGCACTGATACTGTACATGGTTAAGAGTCGAAATACATCGTGGATTTCAGAGTTTATCTGGTTACGTTTTTTAGTCCTTTTTTACGCAGCACTTAGACCATTATTGTTAACAAACACCAGTACTAAATAACCTCAGTTTACTTGAGAAACTGGTGGAATGTACGCCGGTTTGGGTTTGGTATTTCAGGGTATGGCTCCCGGGTAAGGCCAGAGGATACACACAATGACGACACAGAACAATCATTGACCAAACATTGCTCATTTGGGTTGTTTAAACCGCTCCATCCCCTGTAAGTGCTCAGCTAAAACTAACATAACATATATATTGAGTAAGTCTCACAAATTCATACATGACACTAAGTTAATAGTTATGATGTAGGACACATGTCAGACATTTTCAAGATTCGCTGTTCGCCGAGACCTTTGGTTAGTTTCATTTACAAGTTGAGTGAGTGTTTTTGGCATCAATGGAGGAGACACCTCTTTCACATTCCTCCCGATATTTTCATATTTTCTTGTTTCCTTTACCCATTCATTTTACCCATTTATTTTTATCTTTTACTTTCTCTCCCTTTGGCTCCCTTCTCTATTCTCTCTCTATCCATCTAGCTATCATTACCTGTCTAATCATCTCTACCTCAATCTACCGGTCTATCAATGAATCTACCTTTATCTATTTCCTGATATATCATTCATTGCCCCTCATATATATTTTATAGCCTCTCCATATCTGGTGCGTCGTGTCTCACTGCGCCCATACTGTATATTCCTGTTGCATTACTAAAGAAATTATAATTTATGACTAGCCCTAACAAAGCTTATATCAACCTGACGGCAAGACTGGTAGTTACCGTATTAGATATTCTAATAATTTACTTCGTAATCGGTTATATCATGTAATGACAATCGGCAGCTCAGGAGGGACCTGCGCTAGACTATTGGCCAATAGCCAGCTTATCCTTTAGCCTACTTAATCAATATATAAATGATCTGTAAACGACAGCATACGTAGGCGACCCAATAAACAAAACACAGACATTAAAATATCATGTTGGCAGTATTAATGTATCATAAGTTGCAGTAAATGTGGCTCACGGCCCCTTATTAGAGGTGCACCTAATGTCTAACAATAGAGAGCCCTTACTGATTAAGTGTGAAATGTCGGTTCTTACTGATACATAAAAAGACAAAATTATATCAGAACTAATATACATCCCTTCACTTAATAGCTTTAGAATACCTTTGATGTGATCAACCCGATGAATGACTGCGCTGCTGCCTTGACTAGCGTCGACCCATCACTACCACACTGACACCACCTGAATATATGTCTATACAGTGTAATCTACGAGTTTTATTTTAATCGTGGAAAACCGGCAAACATAGTACTGTAAACAGATTATAAGTACTGTTAAATATAAATGCAGATAGTGGTAGGCCTGTATCGCGGAGTGTGGTGTGAGTGAGGTGCTGTGGTCTTGGCAGCGGTGGGGTTCGACTTCAGAGGTGTGCTCAGAGTCATGAAATATCAAAATAAAATTGAAGAGGATTACTTATTTAACACTAAAGTATGGTGGCGGGGAGGCCTCTCAGTTTTACCACAGGGAGAGGAACCGCCCCACCCCTCTAACCCCCGTCCCTGCTGACGCCCAGCACCCGAACTTGTCCACTAATCAGCTCTACCGTTACAAGACTGTTACCCATTCATTCATAAATTTGGCATTGGGTCGCTGCGACAATAAAATAAACATCACCACAGTGGGTAAGAAACTCTTTGAGGCAACCGTACAGTATGAATAATAAAAATAATAATAAAAATAATTAATTATCGGTTTATTGAAAAAGTTCTGCAGCCCGAAGGCTGAAATTATACATTGGATATAAAGGACTTATTACATACATTGGTGGTTTAACAAACGCCTTCATTAGAGAAAGGTGAAGGAACATACAGTGAACATACAGATTAATGTAGGTGTTAAACAGCAAACACGTAGTGTAGTAACTCCCTCCCAGATGGTGTTAGGAGGGATCTCACGTGGTGTAGTAGTTCCCTCACAGATGGTGTTATGAGGGACCTGACGTGGTGTAGTAATTCCCTCACAGATGGTGTTATGATTGACCTCACGTGGTGTAGTAATTCTCTCACAGATGGTGTTATGAGGGGCATCCCGTGGTGTAGTAATTCCCTTACAGATGGTGCTATAAGGGACCTCACGTGGTGTAGTAATTCCCTGACAGATGGTGTTATGAGGGGCATCACGTGGTGTACGAATTCCCTCACAGATGGTGTTATGAGGGGCTCGACGTGGTGTAGTAATTCCCTCACATATGGTATTATGAGGGACCTCACGTGGTGTACGAATTCCCTCACAGATGGTGTTATGAAAGGCCTGGCGTGGTGTAGTAATTCCCTCACAGATGGTATTATGAGGGACCTCACGTGGTGTAGTAATTCTCTCACAGATGGTGTTATGAGGGACCTGACGTGGTGTAGTAATTCCCTCACAGATGGTGTTATATGAGTGAGGTGTGGTCCCAGGCCTTCCTTTCGTAGACGGATTAACACCTCGCTGGTTGTTGTTGGGTCTCACGGGCAGTTATCACTGGGTTCCTGGGACCTCACTGTGTGAACGTTAACTTGGGTACGACTCGGCTGTTACTGTCGAGTTGTTCTCACTGATTTAAGCACTGCTCACCACTGTTCACCTCTGTTCAACACTGGTCCCATCCCTTTCCTAAATGAAATTGTAACTTCTGGCGAGAACTTGTTGATATTCCTGTGGGGAGGAGGGTTCAGGGGAGGGAGTTGGTATGGGCCAACTTAACAGTTGACCTGGCTGCTCCCAGAGGAGCGCCAGGTACGCCTTGACCCTTCGGTGGTCAAGGATGTTTGTATGTATGTATGTATGTATGTATGTATGTATGTATGTATGTATGTATAATGGATGTCCCTTTAAATCGAGCATGGCCGGCCCTAGGGCCACCTAGGCGTGTATTTGTTTAAGGTGTAGAAGCTGTCACCAACACCACAACCACCCCCTAAGTTAACGAACTGCATGACCCAGTGTCAAGGAATAGTCCGAGAAGACCCGGCAACTCGCCAACAGCACTGGCTAACTATTACTCCGAAACCCGATCCGCAGATCGATTAACATCCAGGTTTCCAATGGCTGCTGGGTAGACAGAGGCAAATGGCATAAAGAAACTTGCCCACAGTTTCACCTTGCCCGGGATAGAACCCGGGCCCACTCGCTTGCGAGGCAATTATGTTAGCCATTACACCACAGGACACGACAGCTTCTATACCTTGAATAAATTCACGCCTAGGTGGCGATTTCGATTTCGAGGGGCAACCATTATATTATGCATGTATGTATGTATGTATGTATGTATAAAATATCATTGATAAAATGACTCATAAATATGGTTGTGTTGATTATCTCCATCACCTCACTCACAGTTTTTCACGTCAAAATATTTGCTCTACCTTAAGTAATTTTTCCCGTTTTTTTTATTTAAGAATTAAAATTTAAGACGAAAGTAATGATACAATTATTATGGCTATTTCAACGATCTTTTAATATTGCTTTTATATCTCTCTCCCAAGTAGACTTAACACTGGTGGTGGGACAATACAGCCCTACTCCCTGCACCGACGAGGTCTTTGATCAATACACCGGAGTGACAGTGGATGTGGTGGCCAAGGGCGAGGTACGGGCACTTTCTTGCCAAATTTCTTCCCAGCCTTTTCTGAACTCGAGCTCCGACAGAGTGCGTCTTAGCTACTGCATCAACGGTGAATGGGACCAACAGAATGTCTTTTGCACCGGTGAGGACAAAGTGTATTAAGCTGCCATGCACAGTATATTGATTAAGATTAAATATAATGTATTGTAATGAGTTAGAATTATATGTAATGCACAGTAATGAGGTTACACTGAATTGTAATGTTATAAAAACAATATTCATCATTTCTAAAACAATTAGCCTACTTCCATACGTAAAGTAGTGAACAAGAACACTCAAATAATCTAATATTTATTATTTTCACACACAGTCCAGGGCAGCCCTAACATTGTCTTCCCCACAACCTGTAATCCAGCCCCACCACAGCCTACAGGGACGTCATTAACACTGGATATGACTACCAAACCATTGGCACAGGTGTATGAGTGCGAACAGGGTAAAGCCTGGCTCTCTCGGCACGGTTATCGACTCACGCAGTGTGTAGGATCCACATGGACCCCAATAATGGATGCCTGTGAAGACGGTAAGGAGGACAGAGAGAGAGGCATGTGTTGGGTGAAACTCAAACTGTCTCAAACTGTGTATTTAGCCAACAGACAAAATCTTACAATAACATGCAAGTTTATGTCTGTTGAAAGTTGCCGCTCCCTTAAAAACGAACATTTAAGCGTAATCCAGTTCCGCAGTTCTGATCCAGTATGTATATAAACAATGTAGTTATACAATATACACACTGTACACAGTGCGTGTAGTATAAAAAAGTCACATAGACGGGGCGAATATTCAAACAATATTGAACTATGAAGAGAATTCACTTGGACAAATTGTAATATGGTAGCAAAGGAAACAATTGGCAGAGAGAGAAGTTTACCGATATGACGTTTCGTCACGGGGTGTACTACTTCCTTTGATACACTGAAGTGCAGTCAGCTGTGACGAAACGTGAGGAGTAAAGTTGTCTCTCTGACCCTGTGTTTCCCTCGCTACCATACTACCAATATTTAACTAACATTCTGTGCAAACAGGTTGGTAGATTACACGACTATAACGAGTTGAATGTAATATGAACTTATAGTAAGAATTAGTAAGAACTCTCATTACTAGATAAAAATTGACCCCTTTACGACATATGTATTTGTGGGATCAGAGAGATGGATAAGGAATAATGTGAACTACAATATCTCACTAAATGTAAGAATCACTCACTTCATAGGATCATGATATATATATATATATATATATATATATATATATATATATATATATATATATATATATATATATATATATATATATATATATATATATATATATACTGTATATGTAACAAAGAAGTATGTCTGTGTGTTTGTGTGTGTGTGTGTCCGCACGAGAATTTCGGAAACTACTTTACCGATCTGTAGTGATGATGGATGGTGTTATATGTAGTGATGATGGATGATGATGTTATATGTAGTGATGATGGATGGTGTTATATGTAGTGATGATGGATGATGATGTTATATGTAGTGATGATGGATGGTGTTATATGTAGTGATGATGGATGATGTTATATGTAGTGATGATGGATGATGTTATATGTAGTGATGATGGATGATGTTATATGTAGTGATGATGGGTGGTGTTATATGTTGTGATAATTAGACAATAAAATAATAACAGTTTAATGCTAAAACAATATACTTTGCTGTACCGTTGTTGTGGAACTTACATACACCGTTAATGAACTATTGATGGAAGAAGTTTTCGGGACTGAACAGTGAGATAATGTGGAGCCTCCCGGATGGTGACTCCTACCGTTGGCTAGTGGATGAGGGCGATTCTGCTAGTATATTTATATAAATGCTCTAGACACCCTAAAAAAAAACCCTCATACTTATACACACATAAGAATATTCTAAACCATATTTTTATGAGGATCACCTGAAGCTTAGTCCCTCAGCTTATTTCACCTGAAGAGTTACCACCGTAACGCTAACTTATGAGGGTTAGGCTAGGTAAAGAAAGTTAAGTTAGGTTAGCGTTAAGATGGTTAATCTTCAGGTGAAATAAGTTAGGGGGTGAATCTTCAGATGATCTCTTTAATATTAAGACAATATATATGGCTTTAGAGGTAAATACCCTCAGTGGTATATATACTTAATGCTGGCTTAGTGAAACTGATGAACACAAAGATGGAGAAGCCTCAGTAAGTCGGGGTTTCTTACGTGATATCTTTCGTTAATTAGAAACCGGAGTTACTGTAGTCATAATCAACCAATGAACACAAGAAAACAAAGACGACAGGGAAAAAACAAAAACACCGAAGTCTGGCATAGGATGTGGATGGATGAGCTGAGGCATGGATGGGGTGGATTGGTTATGTGTGGATGGCGCAGGATATAGGTTGATGTATAGATTGGTTATGTATGGATGGCGTACCGTATGCTGTAGGTGGGTGGCTCGATAGGATGTGTGTGGATGGCGTAAGATGTGGATGGGTAAGGTTAAGTAAGGGTGGGTGGTTAGATAGATAGCGGTGTATGTGGGTGGTCAGGGAAGGGCAGCCAGAGGACAGCACTAACAATATGGACCTGTGTTGTCCTCAGACTGTGGACTGCCTCGGGACTGCAGCCATCCTACCATACGCGCTCTCAACACTACCGGAGAGTTCATGGTGGTGCCCTCCGGATTCTACAAGAGACATGCTGTTAAGGTAGGTCACTCCACCCTTCGTGAGTCACTCCACCCCTTGTGAGTCATTCCACCCCTCATAAGTCACTCCACCCTCTTTGAATCACCCCATCCCTCGTGAGTCACTCCAGCACTCGTGAGTCACTCCACCCTCTTTGAGTTATTCCACTTTCGCGTCAGTTACTCCACCCTCCTCAGTGAGTCACTATCATTCTATTGTCACCAGGATGACAGCCGTTCATGGCGTGCGTAGATTGTCAGCTGTGTGTGTGTGTGTGAATAATATACGACGCAGCACAGTACAAGGTAGCGTGCACCACGGCGGGATATAAAATATTCATACAAGCTAAAGGCCACCCTTGGGCCTTCAGCATGGAGAATGAATTACGTTATTTATACACAAGTAGCACAATAACTTTCTTATATTTCTTTTACATAAACCACTGTCGGGAGTCCACTCCTCTCCGTCAGTTACAGATTTTTTCTCCGTCAGCCAGAGGTTTAATTTGGCTCAGTTTAATTTAATAATAAGTAGATTAAAGGACCTGATTAATTTCCGTCAGGGAGAGAAGACGTCACTTAGTCGATTGATGTGGAGTGCCACATAAGGAGACAGTGAAACCGGCACTACAACTTATCACCTTTACCTACAGTTGGAGAAATGTAGAGTCAGGTACCCATTCACAGCTGGGTTTGACTTGAGGTGCCCGGAATCATTTTCGTCATTCTTCACTGCACCGACTCCAGTGAATTGATATCCATTCTATAATAAGGGCACCAGAACTGAACAGCATAATTAAGGTGCGGCCTGTCTAGCGCAAGATATAATTTTAAGATGACCTCGCTAGGCTTGTAACTAACACTCCTCCAGATAAAAACGTTTTGTTTAAATTTAAGAACATAAGACCATATAGTGTCCTTGTGGGTTGGTCGGTAGCGTTCCCTAGTCCCACCCAGTAGGTCGAAGGTTCGATTCCTGGCTGGTGAGGTCGTTGATTATATGTTCAAAGTCCGCGTGTTATATGGACTAAAAATGAAGTATATATATGGTACCTCGTGTTTCATACCAGCTGGATTCGGTAAAATGCTACTGACACCACATACAAGGCACGGGCGGTTCTCAATGAGGTTCACGGCGCCATCAGCTCGATGAACAGGCTTCGTGTGAAATATAACAGAGTCTAGGACTGCGTTTAGTGTCCTTGTGGGTTGGTCGGTAGCGTTCCCTAGTCCCACCCAGTAGGTCGAGGGTTCGATTCCTGGCTGGTGAGGTCGTTGATTATATGTTCAAAGTCCACATGTTATATGGACTAAAAATGAAGTATATATATATATATATATATATATATATATATATATATATATATATATATATATATATATATATATATATATATATATATATATATATATATATATATATATATTTATATATATATATATATATATATATATATATATTTCATTAGCCCAATAAAGCACGCGGACTTCTACATACAATCAACACCTCAACCCGCCAGGATTCGAACCCACGGCCCACGAGCCTATGACTGTGACCGGGGAACGCTAACCACTGGACCACGAGGATACTAAAAGCAGTCCTAGACTTTGTTATATTTCACACAAAGCCTGTTCAACGAGCATATGGCGCCGTGAACTTCTAATGGGGACTACCCGTATCACGTAGGTGGTCAGAGTAACGTTTTACCAAATCCGGCTTCGAAACACGAGGATCCATATATATTTCATTAGCCCAATAAAGCACGCAGACTTCTACATACAATCAACACCTCAACCCGCCAGGATTCGAACCCACGGCCGACGAGCCTATGACTGTGACCGGGGAACGCTAACCACTGGACCACCAGGATATTAAAAGCAGTCCTAGACTTTGTTATATTTCACACGAAGCCTGTTCAATCTAAGCTCCCACCTGTCCACCTCCGCGGATATCGATGAAGAGATTCAGCATCGGATTAAATGTACATCTCAATAATTTGGCAGACTCCGAAACCGTGTATTCAGCTGTAAGGAGCTGAAATTATCTACAAAGTTACACATATGTCGAGCAGTGGTCTTTCCTACCCTGCTATATGGCAGCGAGACATAGTTCACATACAGGAGGCACCTTAAGGTACTTAAAAACTTTCACCAATTTAGTCTACGTTCCATACTCCGAGTTCGCTGGGAAGACAAGAAAACAAATGTCAGTATTCTTGCTGACACCAACTGGAGGAGCATCGAGGCTAGCTGATTTAAGTACTGTACAGAACTGTAAATTTATTGATCGTATATCATTATGTCTAAATTACATGTAAGTTTGTATATTTTCAGCCACCGGCTGCAACTCTATTAATAAACCGTTTATTATTATTATTATTATTATTAATCTATGAACAACTACGCTGGACTGGCCATGTTACCTGTATGGACGACAGTAGACTGCCAAAGCAGCTACTTTAGTCTCCTAACGAATAGTAAACGTAACGCTGGCGGGCAACTGAAAAGGTATAAGGATTGTCTTAAGACAAACCTGAAAAAGTGCCAAATCGACTCCCTCACCTGGGAGACGATTACTACACATCGTAACGCTTGGAGGAGCATCACACGATAAGGTGTCAATACTTTCAAGTTAGCCAGATTGCAAACCGAGGCAGACAAGCACCAACGCCGGAAAGCTTCTGCCGCCACCCCTCCCGCACTACATGTAGCCCTCCATATGTGCAACATCTGTGAACCACTCTGCCGGTCCCGTATCGGTTTCTTTAGTCACCTCAAAACTCACCAATGAAGGTAACATCCCTAATAACTCATATCATTGTATCATAGTTGGATGATCGTCATACTCGATTCCGAGTGACAGCTACTGTAAGCAGTATTAGTATCGTAGGCTCATAGTTAGAGCAGTCAGTCACAAGTCTAGGCGATGTGCTGGGTATTCTTATTCTGGCTATCTCACTGGTGAGATAAATGCCTACCCGATAGGTTTTACTGGGCCGTGGAGGTGATCTGAATTTCACTTTCCAACATGACAGGAAATGCTGATTCAAGGTTATGAATTCCTGTGTTGAACATTACAGGATATGACGATATATGGTTATGTGCCCCTGTGTTGACGAATCCGGGTATACAATAGGTTATGTTTTTTTTTTTTGAAGAAGCGGTTATTTTGCAAAAATCACCGGCATGCATATTGGTAATTTTACAAAATAACTTACAAACAGGCTAACCTAAACTACCCTTACCTTATGGTTGAATAAGGTTAGGTTAGGTGAGGACAGCACATAGTCCAAAGTTAATAAAAAAAGCACAGGACCACTTAACTGTGTATCAAGCTACACGAGCCATCCTATCCTATCCAATATGCATGACGGTGATTTTTCCAAAATAACCGCTTCCGCAAAAAAACAAAACAACATATTTAAACAATATGTAAACAGCCTGAATTTATACTCTCTGTCTATATGAAGACAAAGGCAATTCTAAGCAGATTTGTCAACACATTCATCAATTATGTAGTTTACACAAATGACAGGCCACGGACGGCGTGGTCAAAAACACTGTGAATGAGGTTGGGAAGTTTTATTTAACCCAGCGCGGAGTAAGAGATTTTGTTCCAGTCAAGATATAAAGTCTCCCCACCCCACTCTGTCTGTCTGTCTGTCTGTCACCAGTACACTCTCTTTCACTACGTGTTTGTTACTCATGTAAAACATAACACTCAAGTCAGAACACGCGCGCGCACACACAAACACACATTTATATCTTCCCGATGCGATCAATAAACACTCGTGAATGCAATGAATAATGAATGAGTGTCTGTTGTTAGGGGACACACACACACACACACACACACACACACACACACACACACACACACACACACACACACACACACACACACCTTTCTCTCTACACCTACATAAACACATAAAGACAAATCGAAATATAAAATAAAATCTTATAAACTACAAAATATGAAATCAGGAAACAAAAACAAAATGTTGATAAAAATATTGATAAAATGTTGAATGTTGATAAATATTTCTTAACTCACTTGACATGGAAGAGTTTTACTGACTTTTACCGAGTTTATTAGTTTTATATTTTTTGTTCCGGGTTTTTCGGATTTTTAAAGATTTTTTACGGATTTTTACGAATATTTTAAGACTTTTTACGGATTTGACATTTTTTACAGAATTTTACGAATATTTACAGACTTTACGGATTTTACAAAATTTTTACGGGGTTTTAAGGATTTTGTTTTTGTTTTTACGAATTTGTTTCCGGATTATTGCACTTTTATTTTAATAGTGTCTACAGATTTTTACGGATTTGCTTTACAAATTTGCATTAGAGTGGCCAACGAAATCTAAGTCTCCTGACACTCTCTTTACTTTATGTATAAATAAGTAAATAATGTATTGACAGACAGAAATACATACAGACAGACAGACATACATAGATAGATAGACCAAATAAAAGATGAACAACCCGACAAACTTTTTCGGAGTGAGGGTTGTAAACTCTTGGAACAATCTACCAGAGAGTGTTGTGACGGCGCCGAGTGTGAGCTCTTTCAAGAGAAGACTTGACCAACACTGGAGCGGGTTCAGGTACATTCAGGAGCCGGTGCATGCCCAGTATTTGCCAACAGTGCGTGACAGAGACGTGACCGATCGCCCGGGCGGCTAGCGAGCCGACCTTTTGGTGAAGAATATAAAGGAAAAGAGACGTGACCGATCGCCCAAGCGGCTAACAAGCCGATCAGTGGCGAAGAGGATAAAAGTAAAAAGACAGACAGACAGACAGACAGTTGGACAGAAAAGACAGGTTTCGAGAGACAGACAGACAGACACGCCAGATATGTCTCAGGTTTTGTTGTTATATCTGAATGTTGGCGAGAAATTCCACAAGTATATATAGCATTATATTAACTGGAACCTGAAGAAATAATCTACCGTAATATAAAAACTACATGTATGTACTTATTTATAAATTAATGGATTTTGTTACAGTAAT